GTGTAAACGTAAACACCCGGTTAGCGCGGTTTTTTCGAAAGTATTAAAATTAATTAAAAATTGAAAAGTTATAACTATCACAAAAGCAAATTTTATACAAAAAAAGGTATTTTATTTTCGTTTTTGTGAATAATGAACCGGAAAAACCTAGTGTAAACATTAGGACAAAGAAAGAATATTTTTTTGTAGAGTTGTGTAAGCGACTGACGGAGCTTATGGATTCCTCCGTGAGCGCTCCGCAACTCACTGATGATGTGATTCAGGTTGTTATTCCGAGAGACTCCAGTTACCGTTGAACAAAATGAGATTGCGTCTCTGTTCGAAAATATTCATATTTTGTTTTACCATTATTTCCATATTTAAGGTTAATATCACTCTCGCCCAGCGCTACGATGCCATTTGCGCTTAACTTTATATCAGCTTTGTTCGGATATTTGTGACTCTTCTTTTTATCTCTTACTTCTTTAAGTTTGGCTTCTAACTGAGAAAAAGAGCTGAATTATAATACATTTGTACGTGAAAATTTCGCTGAAAACTTGAAATCTTTTGGATTTTATCTTAAATACTTTTATCGGACTAATAATATTGGGTACGTAGAGAAGTTTGATCTGCCGCTAGCTTAGTCGTCGGTGAGCATGACGGGCCTACGGGGTCTAGTTCCAGAGTGGCTTTATGGTTCACTGTAGCAGTGTAGTTGGTAATGTCTAGCTCCGGCACGAAAACAACAGAAGAATATAATAGCTTGTAATTAATGTGCTTAGAATGTGGTTCAAGGATCCGGCACAAATCCGGCTACCGACATGGAAGGAAAAACAGAGATAATGCAATACCTTCAATACTGGTGGTAGGACCTCTTGTGAGCCCGCGCGGGTAGGTACCACCACCCTGCCTATTTCTGCCGTGAAGCAGTAATGCGTTTCGGTTTGAAGGGTGAGGCAGCCCTTGTAGCTATACTGAGACCTTAGAACTTATATCTTAAGGTGGGCGGCGCATTTACGTTGTAGATGTCTATCGGTTCCAGTAACCACTTAACACCAGGTGGGCCGTGAGCTCGCCCAACCATCTAAGCAATAAAAAATAAAAGAATGACTCAGTGATAGCCCAAAAAAAAGGCTAATTCATTGCTTTTTGACCATAACCTTAAATATACAAGTTTCCATATTTCTTCATACCATATCCAATAGAACGTCTTTTTGTTCCAGAAATGTTTCTTCGACGAGATCGTTTCTAATCTTGAGGGCGTTTGTTAAATTAAGTGTCGGATTGTTAGTGGCGCGTATCATTTCCAAAGCTTGTATTGAAATCTGAAAAGTATTTGTTCGTTATAAACATTTTATAGTTCAATCAGGAATTGTATGCTCCGAGAAAACGATCTTAAATTCGAAATAGTTTAGTTTAGAATATACCTTCCGTGCTGTAGCATCTCCAAAGAACACATTTCTCTAAACAAGATTAAGTGCTCCAAAAACAATTAATGCCAGAATAAATTTGAACAATGTCAATGTGTCGTAAGGATTATTATTGTTTAACCTGATTGGCGTAGTCCAGGACAATAGTCCTACCAAAAGCAACACCAAACCAATTAGAGACCAATCTAATAATTCCCCGAAAGTCATCGACAAGTGTCATGAAAATTTTAATCAGTAAACTACAATTACAAAATTCCATTATAACATTCGTAGGGCCGTAATGAAAAACAGCAACGGAGCCAAATGAAAACGTTATATACCAGTGCAGTTAACGTGATGTGTTTGCTCTCCATTTGTACGTTTTACTGTTGGCGTGAAATAAACCAATAAGGCCCGCTGCCATATCGCTTGATTTTACGAGTCGTTCCTCGAGATCGACGTTTGATAGCGGAGCATATTTCTTTACAACGTACAAGGCGACGTGTGGGATGTGAATTACTTTGTCAATAAATTAAAAGCAACGCCGCTTCTGCGGTATTGTTACTAGCAAATAGCAATGATATTTGGTTCCTCTCCAATTCGTATTGTCGCAATTGAAATGCACAAACCGTTTATTGAACGCAACTCATTATTATTGCATCTAATAATATTATTGAATATAGACACTAAACGGACGCATGTTGTCCTATTCGATATTTAATTTTGATCTTAAGTTTTTCTTCTTGAAACCAAAAAATAGCAAATAGCAATAATATTTGGTTCCTCTCTAATTCTTACTGTCGTAATTAAAGGGCACATACTCATTGCTACACTGACGTATATTTTTATGGGTCCATTGAAGATAAACTTTAAATACAACATTAATTAAAGAACTTTATCATTTGTTTCATGTTCAAAGTATCGTCACATAGTCTACGGGCACGAAATTTGCGATGGCCGAGCGATGGCGACAGCGGGGCGACGCGACACGGAGCGGGTAGGCAGCGATATCTCGCGCGGGCACGAAACAAGCTGGCGGGCAGTCGCGCTTGAGCAGTGTTGTGCGAATCATGACTTTACGTCGAAGAGAACTATTGGAGCCTAGTCGCCTATTGAGAGAATTATTATTACCTAGAGATGGTGTTCATCCAATAAATCAACGAAGACGCAATTTGGGAGAATTTTCTACGCTTTATTACGAGCTAAGGTGTCATTCAATGAAATTTTAAATTCCTTGTTAAATTATAAATTCCTCATTATCAATTTCCATTACTAAAATAATAACTGAACACAACACTGCGTACCCGCGCAAGCGACGAAACCAAACTAGTTTGTTCTCGTCGCTTCCGCGTCGCCGTCGCCCCATCATCGCCCGTACATCGCTCGATCGCCCCGCTCCGCCATCGCCCGTTTCGTGCCCGTCCCCATACTGTGCAATGCTTTTGTATACATCGCCGTCGCGCCGCTGTCGCCATCGCTCGGCCATCGCAAACCTCGTGTCCGTAGACATAATGTTGTCGATAAAATTGAAAATATTGGTCAACGCAATAAATACCTCACACAAACGAAGGTTGGATAGCGTGAAAGCGTAAAATTTGTAGACCAAATCTTATATAATGCTGTCACGATTCTTAAAAATGACGGAACGATCGAGAACGTTTGCATACGTGCCATAGCATAATGTAATACAAATATGTACCGAACTCAGCCAACCTATATGAATATAACGCGGCATTTTATTGCATAAATGCACTTTGGTGATACAAGATGCATTACATACAGAAATAGGATCATACGAAAACGACATAAGATTTGATTGTAAAACCGAGTTCCTTCACTGTACTTCAAAACAACACGCGACTATACTGCTTATATGTATACAAAAGGAATATATCGACGCTTGAAAGGCAAACGTGACTCCGGTCACCGTCCTCGTCGAACCCGTCGCTTGCGACGAAGGGCTCGACGAGCGAACTAACGCATAGACACAGCCCACTGAGTTTTTCGCCGGATCTTCTCAGTGGATCGCGTTTCCGATCCGGTGGTAGATTCTGCGAAGCACTGCTCTTGCTAGGGTCAGTGTTAGCAACTCTCCGGTTGAGCCCCGCGAGCTCACCTACAAACGTTAGGGCGAAGCTGAAATAGCCTCTCAAGGCTATTAGCAGATATAGGAAAAAAAAATGTGACTAAGCCACAATAACTGCTTTGTACATACATTATAGGCAATAACCATATTCGATGCGCAAAAAAAAAATATTTCTAGGTCTATTAAAATCATTTCAATCCTACAGCTACTAGCTAGATTCCACTACAGCTAGATTCGTTAAAATAAATTTCGTTTTCAGGTATTTCAACTTTAAATTAGTCTACTGTAAAGTTCACGCATTGTCGCTTAGTCACGTTTGCCTTTCAAGCGTCGATATCATTTCATAAATAATTTCATGTAGAACCTTTTTTTTACTTATTACGAAATTTTTACTGGTGGTAGGTACAAAAACGCCACAACGACTATTTATTTGATTGTATGTATTAAATTGTGAAGTCAAATAATATACTTTATTACTATAGGAATTGTAATCTGTGATCTGTGTCTCATTTCAATATTAATTTGTGTACATTATATAGAATACTGTAAGATTACTGGTGGTAGGACGTATTGTGAGGCCGCACGTGTAGGTAACACCACCTTGCCTATTTCTGCTGTGAAGCAGTAATGCGTTTCGGTCCGTCGGGTATGGCAGTCGTTGTGCTGTAAAAACTAAGGCCGTACAACTCTTGCTTCAACGTAGGTGGCGACATTTACGTTGCAGATATCTATTGGCTCCAATAACCACTTAATGCCAGATGGGCCATGAGCTCGTACAACCATCAAATCAATAAAAATTGAGTCACGTAATTCTATAATTGTGAGATTTTATTATAATTTATGGGAAAATGTTGAATTCGATTCAGAGAAATAATATGTTTTTTACTCGTCTTCCTTTCTTCGTCGTATACAGCGTGCCCCTGCGACCCGTGTCAAGTCCAATCCTCCAAGAAACCTTTCCATATTGGTATTGACGTGACTGACCTCTATTGGAGTTTTCTATATTCCACGTTATTTAATACATTCAATTTCATCAAATTCGGTTTATTGAGTAACACAAATATATGAAGCATACACAATTAGCGTTTGTATTACTTTGCGTGAGTATGGATATAATCGGATCCGCTTTAATCCTTTGACTCCCATGTAGATCACCGGTGCCCTACGCGGCCCACTGAAGTAATTAAGTCAATATCTGTTACTAAGGCGCCGGAATATCTAGTAGACTCTGGTAAAAGCTGAAGATATTGGAGAAGAATCTACTCCTAAGAGACCTAAAAAACTAAAACGTACATCAATAAACAAAAGAAGAAAATAAGTTAACTTTTCCGCTAACGAGAACGTTAAACTCGCACTAAGCACACTGGTCTTCCCATGCGATATTTTTTTTTAAATTCCTAAGTTGAGAGGCTTGAGAGGCTATTTTGGCGCTAACAAATAGTAGCGATAGCTACAGCTTGGCGTCGAATTATTTATCAAGCAATGTTGTTAAATAAAAAAATAAATGGTCGTTCTGTTTGTACTAGTGCGGCGGCGGCGGCGGCTGCGGCGGCAGAGGCACTTGGCGGAGGCGGCGGTCGTCGCATACCTCCGCCCTTATTGCGTTCCCGGACATTACCCGCCATCATAGCACCCGGCTTCTCGATCCTACACGCCCAGATCGACCCTCAACGAACCACGGGTGAGTTTTACTAATACTCGGTGTACACTTTAACACTAAACATACCATAACGGGTGAAATGAGTGGGAAGATCGGTACTTTTTGGTTAATTAACACTGGCACACTAGTTTTATTTTAAACTAGCTGACCCGGCAGACTTCGTAGTGCCTCAATCGATAAATAAAAGACCTATTTGTATAAAATAAACTTAAAACAAACAAAAGGAATCCGTCCGACGGGGGTTTGTTTTTATATAATTTCGAGGATTTTTATATTTATTTACCTTTTAAACCTTCTCTGGACTTCCGTGAATAATTCAAGACCAAAATTAACCAAATCGGTCCAGCCGTTCTCGAGTTTTAGCGAGACTAACGAACAGTAATTCATTTATTTATATATAGAGATGAAGAAAGTATAAATGTCAGATATAAAATTGACATAACGATATTACGAATATGTATGTAATATTATTTTCAAAGAATAAAAAATTTGTTGTTAAACTAAATATATTCACTAGATTTCGCCATACCATCCCACATCTTTTTGATTTTGAACTTTTGCATTGAAAATGCACACGTATGATCTTATTGCTTTTGTACATTTGACTTCATGACTTTCTTACCAATTATACTACAGTTATTATACTATTTGTTTTGGTTTTGTTTTGTTTATTTTAAGTAATATTTATCGTAGAACGTTATCTACTCGCTATGGTAGAAATAGGTACCAGCAAGTGTTGGTATGATTAGTGTTAAATTTAATAGCCAAATTATTATCAGTTGCAACTTTTAAATGGTGTGCGATATACTTATATTCACGAAAGAGTTCAGCCTTCGTTTTTAAGCTTCAGCGACCAATTCGTTTAGACAGATCGTCTTTACGCATTAAAAGTGCACAATTTCCAAAAATAATTCGAAATTGAGTTAATATGCGGAATCATTTGGTCAAAAGAACATAGTTTAGTTTTAGTTTTTTTTTTTAGTTTACTTATGTTTTGACTACTACTAACAAAATTAATACATAATTTTATCTTACTTTAAAAGACAGATACATAATGTAACTGGTAAAAAATAAAAAAAATAAATGATGCAAAGATGATTTAATATTAAAAATAGCACATTTTAAACCTTTAAAACACTCTCCTGTAAAATTAGTAAGTTTTGAGATTATACAGTTTTAATGCGAGAAGTCGATTATTTATGCACAAGGGACAAAATGACAGACTTATTTCCTGAAGTATTTTTCTCTCTCTCTGTCTTTATTCTCTATCGGTCAAACTTTAAGTCTTTCTATGTACTTATACATTACACAAGCACATATTTTTAAAGTATGAGACAGCTGTTATAAAATACTATAAGGTCGATGACAGAATTAAGTTTGCGATGCCTATGAAATACGATGATCATTTAAAATGTGGGAAGTAGGTAAGACCTAGGTAGGTAAGACTACTTCCCACATTTACACATCAATAAAAACAACAACATACACTCGTCATGGCCTCAAGGATAAGACGTCCGGTGCATTCGTGTTGAGCGATGCACCGGTGTTCGAATCCCGGGCGGGTACCAATTTTTCTAATGAATTACGTACTCAACAAATGTTCACGATTGACTTCCACGGTGAAGGAATTATATCGTGCAATAGAAATCAAACCCGCAAATTTTAATTTGCGTAATTACTGGTGGTAGGACCTCTTGTGAGTCCGCGCGGGTAGGTACCACCACCCCGCTTATTTCTGCCGTGAAGCAGTAATGCGTTTCGGTTTGAAGGGTGGGGCAGCCATTGTAACTATACTTGAGACCTTAGAACTTAGGTATATCTCAAGGTGAGTGGCGCATTTACGTAGTAGATGTCTATGGGTTCCAGTAACCATTCTTAACACCAGGTGGGCTGTAAGCTCGTCCACCCATCTAAGCAAAAAAAAAACACTTTATCGAAATCTAACCTTTTTAAACGGTTTTTTAGCTCGACCCGTACGGAATTTGTTTTTTATTTATTTGGGTCAAAATTAGAAATTGAAATTTAAGCACCTTCCCGTTGTCAGATTGATCTGAAATTTGGTACACAGATTTAATTTAGATGACAATACAATATAATAAAATTAATGACATTATAAATCTAAGATGGCCGCCGATACAAAATGGCGGATTACATATTTTTCCTTAACCCCCTCAATATGGGTATCAAATGAAAGGGCTACACAAGTAAAACACAATGATTATGTCAAAATTTAAAATTCAAGATGGACGCCGTTCCAATATGGCGGACTAGGTAAATATTTTTTCACAACCACCACAATATGGGTATCAAATAATAGGACTACACTAGCAGAATACTGTCATTATGTCAAAATTTCAAACTCAAGATCGACGCTGTTACAAAATGGCGTATTAGGTGGGGGGATGATTAGTCGTGTCGAGAACAGTTGCGTCCAAGATTGTGTGACGTTAGAGGGGCAGATAAAAAAAAGGTAATTATTAATTACCTCGTTAGTAAGCGGTAGCTTTACCACCCAAGTTAAGGTAATAGGTTAAAATGTGCCGAGGACTGTATGGTATTAGGGTGGGTAAAAATGTAATGTCGTCAGCGCTTCCCCCTCAAGATTGGGCGCATCTTGTTGTATATTAAGCCTTGCTCCTTTACTGGAACTCGGGGGGGGGGGGGGGGTCGACCGTCAAAATGCCCCTTAATCGNATCGCTGAGTACCCAGGTGGGGCGGCCCCGGGTCTTGAAAACACTCGCCTTGCGGCGAGGCCCCAACTTCTCGGACCTGAGCGGTTCTATTGAACACAGGTGGCAATGCGGCGCGATTACTACAGGACAAAGAAAAAGCACAACAAAACAGAAATTACGAAAAGAAACAAAACAAATAAATACTTGCAGGAATCCACTTTGTCGGCAGATGTACCACAAACACAGAAACAACAAAAGGAAACAAAACAAATAAAAAATTCCAGAAAGAGCACTTAGTCGGCAGATGTACCACGAACACAGGCCGCGCGAACAATGGCCGGGCTAACAAAAGCCGGGCGAACAAAGACCGGGCGATCGAGTGGACGATGAGCACGTCCGCACGTGACGGGTGCCTCTATCGGAATGTGACACCGGTGCATCGCTAGATACGAATGCACCGGACGTCTCATCTTTTAGGCCACGACGACTTTAAAAAGTCGTCGTGGTATGATTAGTGTTAAATTGAATAGCCAAATTATCATGAGTTGCAGATTTTAAATGGTGTGCGATATACTTAAATTTACAAAAGAGTTCAGCCTTCGTTTTTTAGCTTCAGCGGCCAATTCGTTTAGGCAGATCGTCTTTTCGCATTAAAAGTGTACAATTTCCAAAAATAATTCGAAATTGAGTTAACATGCGGAATCATTTGGTATCCATCAGTATTTTTCTCATAAATATTGTCAAAAGAGCATAGTTTAGTTTTAGTTTATTTTTTAGTTTACTTATGTTTTGACTAATGCTAACAAAATTAATACATAATTTTATCTTACTTTAAAAGACAGATACATAATGTAACTGGTAAAAAATAAAAAATAAATGTTGCAAAGATGATTTAATATTAAAAATATCACATGTTAAACCTTTAAAACACTCTCCTGTAAAATTAGTAAGTTTTGAGATTATACAGTTTTAATGCGAGAAGATGAGACATCGACTGCGGTTCCCTTCCATCTATGCACACTTTATGCACAAGGGACAAAATGACAGACTTATTTCCTGAAGTATTTCTCTCTCTCTATCTTTATTCTCTATCGGTCAAACTTTAAGTCTTTATATGTAGTTAGTTATACATTACACAAGCACGTATTTTTAAAGTATGAGAAAGCTGTTATAAAATACTATAAGGTCGATGACGGAATTAAGTTTGTGATGCCTATGAACTACGATGATCATTTAAAATGTGGGAAGTAGTCTTACCTACCTAGATCAATAAAAACAACAACATACACTCGTCGTGTCCTAAAGGATAAGACGACCGGTGCATTTGTGTTGAGCTAGCACCGGTGTTCGAATCCCGGGCGGGTACCAATTTTTCTAATGAATTACGTACTCAACAAATGTTTACGATTTACTTCCACGGTGAAGGAATAACATCGTGCAATAAAAATGAAACCCGCAAATTTTAATTTGCGTAATTACTGGTGACGATAGGACCTCTTGTGAGTCCGCGCGGGTAGGTACCACCACCTTGTCTTTCTGCCGTGAAGCAGTAATGCGTTTCGGTTTGAAGCTCATCCACCCATCAAAGCAATAAAAAAAAAAACTCTTTATCGATATCAATCCTTTTTGTTGTTAATAAAATGATTTTGAACCCGAGACACGATTGTAGTGCTCACGTGAAACGTATGTGACTATACAAAATATGTACAAGCAGGAGTGTGTTTATCTAATGTGAGTTCAGCGTTTGGCTACGAACCGCGAGTAGAAAAGATTCCATTAACGGTTAAGTGTCTTTTTAACCGACGCGGCGACGGTTCGTCGGTACATTAACGTTGCACGCCATTCGGTACTTATAAAAAGGTTGTACGATTTTTCACCTTTGTAAAGGGCGGAAATGTCGGCTTTTACACGCTCCTTATTAACTTGACTTGTACGTAACTTTCTTGAACCCAGATGGGTAATTTTATTTTAAACTTTCAATCCCTTCTGATTGTTAATTGTGTTTTGGTGTTCAATAAACTATATTCTCTCTCTCTCTCTCTCTCTCTCTCTCTTTATTGCACATATTAACGGATACAGGTATCTGCTAAGGCTCCCCATAGACCAGTTTAGACTGCCCGCATCCAGCGGATAATTACGACTTTTACCTTGGCTTGAGAGAGTGGGCAGCAGGACTCTGATTATTATCATACTGTGATCGCTTACTCACTGCACATATAACTCGTAGCTATTATGACAATGTCATTCTTAACATAGCTTTTTATCTAGTTATGGCGTATGCACATAAGTCTTAAATGCTTAATCCGTGCCCTAATGTATTCTGTAAAATATTAAATGCCGCATCTACA